TCTCAAAAACCCAAATGTTTTGTGGCTCGCTCTGCAGAGTGATGCAGAACCTGCTGCTGGTTGCCTGGGAGAAGGCGACTGACTGAAACTTAAATTTGCAACAGGGAATTGATTTTTCTTAGAAATATAAATCACAATAGTTTTCATGATGTTATGTAGAATTTTAGTTGGTGAAAGCTGCAGTTACCTTCTATTTTGTCTCTCAAAAACCCAAATGTTTTGTGGCTCGCTCTGCAGAGTGATGCAGAACACACAGCTTTGGGGAGGCTGTTTCTCCTCAAATCACAGTTTAATTAATTGACTCTTTTTCTTCTCCCTAGAGGCATTTTGGTTTGCACAGATGTGATGGCTCGAGGCATAGACATCCCAGAGGTACACTGGGTGTTGCAGTATGACCCACCCAGCAGTGCAAGGTACAACTTCAGCTCATCACAACTTTTTCTCTCCATGTGCTCACATTACTGTACTGGTCAGATATAAATTGGGAACATACAACTGTGGAAAAACACATTTAATTGCTGCCTGGAAGTCTGAGTGAAACACACAAAGTAAAGCAGGAGCTAGGGAGGTTGATACACTGCAGTGTTTGGTGTGAGTGCTGTGATTTGAGATGGCTTTGTGTGGTGTGTGTGTGTGTGAGTCAGGTGAGTGGTCACCACTTAGTCTGTGTGAAGAGGTGACTCTGGGGTAAGGCTTAGTGTGAGAATGTCAGAAATAATGAGAGGGGAAGGAGAACAGGGACGGCTCTGTGAGGAATGGTACATTGAAAGCTCCCAGGAAAAGAGCTTTTCCACAGTGTGAGAATGTCAGAAATAATGAGAGGTGAAGGAGAACAGGGACAGCTCTGTGAGGAATGGTACATTGAAAGGCTCCCAGGAAAAGAGCTTTTCCACGTGTATGTTAACTTTTGTTGTCATCATTCTCCCTACAACTTGCTGAAACTTCACCCCCAAACCAGATACCCCTTGCTTCAGCCTAACAACTGAGTGCTCTGCCACGTCTCTTGCATTGCACTTACTAACTCCAGTTGGTTTGGTTCAAAAGTCCATAGCACTGTTTCCCATTCCCCTTTCTGCTGCCTAACACTTTCAGATCATGCTGAAGAGCATCTCCTGCTGAGCTGCCTGTGTTGGGTTGTTTCAGTGCCTTTGTGCATCGCTGCGGTCGCACCGCGCGGATCGGCCACGTGGGCAGCGCTCTGGTGTTTCTGCTTCCCATGGAAGAATCTTACATTAACTTTCTCTCAATCAACCAAAAGGTTAGTAGACTTTTGTTCTACCCCAAAGCAGGAAAGAGCAAGGGGATATCCTTGCTGATAGGAGCTTTGAGACCAGAATGTGTAGAGCTTGAGGTATTGTTTTAGTAGAGGTGCACGAGTAAAAAAGGCAAGAGCTGCCCATTAACACCAAATGCAACTGTCTGTTGGAACATGATTGCTCCCAGTGTTACATGCTGAGTTTCTAAGAGGATGATGCAATGAGTAAGGAAAGGCCTTTTGTTCCTGAGGGTGTAAACTGAGCATTTCCAGAAGGGCAGTGCTGGCTCCCTCTCCTGCCCCGGCCCTGCCACCCCCACCTCACACACTGCACCCTCTGTGCTGCTTGTTTCTCATTCCTGTAATTTTCCATACCTGGTCCTGCATTTGTGGGATATAAATTCTCTAGAGACCTGTTAATGAGTATAGCTTGATAAGGTGTGAGATGAAGATGTTGCCTCTGCAAAACTGCAGTGTGGGAGCTCTTCTGGGCCAGGTCAGCTGTAGGTGGGGCTGATGGTCAGCTGGTGTGTTGGAGTGACCAAGGGGAGAGGGGCTGAAAGCTGAGGATTAACTGAGCAAGAAGTTTTGGGGCTCACAGTGCATTTCACATCATGCAGCTGAACTTTTCCTTTGGTTTTGTTGTATGTTCTCTGGTTCTCAGTGTCCCATGCAGGAAATGAAACCACAGGCAAATGTGTTGGATCTTCTTCCCAAGCTGAAGTCCATGGCCCTGGCTGACAGGGCAGTGTTTGAGAAGGGGATGAAAGCCTTTGTGTCCTATGTCCAGGCCTATGCCAAACATGAGTGTAACCTGATCTTCCGAATCAAAGGTAATTCCCAGCTGGGCTGGTGCCTGGCACTGTTCCTTTCAGAAGTCAGGGTTTGCTTTGGGAAAAAAAAATCTGTGTTGTTACTGTCCAGAAGCTTTCCTGTAATTTTCCATACCTGGTCCTGCATTTGTGGGATATAAATTCTCTAGAGACCTGTTAATGAGTATAGCTTGATAAGGTGTGAGATGAAGATGTTGCCTCTGCAAAACTGCAGTGTGGGAGCTCTTCTGGGCCAGGTCAGCTGTAGGTGGGGCTGATGGTCAGCTGGTGTGTTGGAGTAACCAAGGGGAGAGGGGCTGAAAGCTGAGGATTAACTGAGCAAGAAGTTTTGGGGCTCACAGTGCATTTCACATCATGCAGCTGAACTTTTCCTTTGGTTTTGTTGTATGTTCTCTGGTTCTCAGTGTCCCATGCAGGAAATGAAACCACAGGCAAATGTGTTGGATCTTCTTCCCAAGCTGAAGTCCATGGCCCTGGCTGACAGGGCAGTGTTTGAGAAGGGGATGAAAGCCTTTGTGTCCTATGTCCAGGCCTATGCCAAACATGAGTGTAACCTGATCTTCCGAATCAAAGGTAATTCCCAGCTGGGCTGGTGCCTGGCACTGTTCTTTTTAGAAGTCAGGGTTTGCTTTTGGAAAAAAAATCTGTGTTGTTACTGTCCAGAAGCTTCAACTACTGATTCACTTTCTGCTACATCAGATTTGGACAAAAATCCTCTCTTTTCAAGCAATTTCTTTCAAGAGAAAACATTTAATTACTGAGTTGGACCAAACTGACATAAGGATAAATAAAAGTGACTAAGCATTGTGGTAGTGTTAACTATAGAGTGCAAACAATGCACTAAAATAATGTCTGGTTTTTTCCTGTCTCAATTAAATTAACTTTTTATCCAGCAGGAAACTGACTTTATGACCTTTATTTTCACAGATCTGGATTTTGCTAGTCTTGCCAGAGGTTTTGCATTGTTAAAGATGCCGTTTTAACAGATCTGGATTTTGCTAGTCTTGCCAGAGGGTTTGCGTTGTTAAAGATGCCAAAGATGCCTGAACTGAGAGGAAAATGTTTTCCAGACTTTACTCCAGTCACTGTTAATACAGACTCCATTTCCTTTAAGGATAAAAACAGAGAAAAGCAAAGACAACAGAAATTAGAACAACAAAGAAAAGAAAGAGAGGAAAATGAAGGGATCTGGATTTTGCTAGTCTTGCCAGAGGGTTTGCGTTGTTAAAGATGCCAAAGATGCCTGAACTGAGAGGAAAATGTTTTCCAGACTTTACTCCAGTCACTGTTAATACAGACTCCATTTCCTTTAAGGATAAAAACAGAGAAAAGCAAAGACAACAGAAATTAGAACAACAAAGAAAAGAAAGAGAGGAAAATGAAGGGAAAAAGAAATTCATCAAGAACAAAGCCTGGTCAAAGCAGAAAGCCAAGAGGGAGAAGAAGAAGAAAGTGACAGCTAAAAGGAAACTTGAAGAGGTAACTGTGTGTTCTGCTGAGCTGCAAGTGATTGCTGTAGCCTCTCCCATGGCAGAGAACTCTGGAGCTGATGGCTGTAAAATAACTGTAGCTGCACAGAATGAAAACCTTTTGAGTGTTGTGTCTAATTTGTTGTTTTCAACTGCCAACAGGGCTCTGATATTGAAGATGTGGATATGGAAGAGCTGCTGAATGACACAAGACTCCTGAAAAGATTAAAAAAGGGAAAAATTAGTGAAGAGGAGTTTGAGAAGAAGCTAACAGGCAGCCAAAGCAGAATCACAGCAGAAGCTGTTGCTGACACGGATTCTGAAGGTTGACAGTTAGTCTAACCAATAAAACTGTATTTTTCTAACAAAATAATGATGCAGAGAACAGAATTGACCTGATTTCTTTGTGGAGAGACCAGACATGCATAATGACACACAAACCAGCTGCAGAACAAAGCTGAAAGCACAGCTCTGGTGTGGCAGGGGCTGCAGGTTTCCATCAACAGCTTTGTGCAGGTTTTAATTTGGGTTTTTTCAGGTACATACCACAGGTCAGTAAGTCACAGCACACCTCAAGTGAGTCTGAATACACCAGAAGGTATTTTATTTGGCAGTATGAAAATACTCCCCCCATCCTGAAAATAATTTAGGTCCTTAGAAGCTGCAGTAACTTTGGGAATTTTCTGTGGTCCATCCACATGTAACATCTTGATTTCAAACTCAAGGCTGAGAAATTAGCTTGATCCTTATAATGTTGTTTCCTTGCCATGTTCATGTGACTTGGATCATTGTGCTGGTTTGAGCTGAAGTAGAGTTAACTTTCCTCACAGAGGCTAGTATGAGGCTATGTTTGGGTTTTGTGCAGAACACAGAGTTGATAATGCAGAGATGTTTTTGTTGTTGCTGAGCAGAGCTCACACAGAGTCAAGGCCTTTGCTGCTTTCCGTACTGCCACACTGGCAAGGAAGTTGGGGATGCATGGGAGATTGGGAGGAGACACAGCTGGGACAGGTGACCCAAACTGACCAAAGGGATATTCCATACCATAGGACATCATGCTCAGTATATAAGGTGGGAGGAAGGGGAGTAATCTGGAGTGATGGCATCTGTCTTCCCAAGGAACCGCGTGATGGGATGGGGCCCTGCTCTCCTGGAGATGGCTAAACACCTCCTGTCTATGGGAAGCAGTGAATTAATTACTTGTTTTGCTTTGCTTGTGTGTGCAGCTTTTGCTTTCTCTATTAAACTGTCTTTATCTCAACCCATGAATTTTTGTAGCTTTTACCCTTCTAATTCGCTCCCCCATCCCGTTGGTGGGGGAGTGAGTGAGAGGCTGTGTGGTTCTTGGGTGCTGGCTGGGGTTAAACCATGACAATCATCTTCCAAGTTCTTAAAACCCTGACAGACACTGGAGATGCCACATCCTGTGCAGGGAGTCCTCTGCTACAGATAGAGTTTAATGAGTTCATCGCTGACAGCTGATGGAGTCAACACACCAAGGTCTGTGAACAGTAACGTGATCAGGGATGGGGATGTGTAGTCAATCCAGGGATGCTCCTGTGTGAGATTCTGACCTGCTTTCAGAGTGTCTGCTTTGTACTAGGAGGAAACAGAGACCAATAGTTAGTTATTTCACAACTGCAAGTTAAATGCTCTTTTAGGCAAGAGCAGTTCTCCAGCCTCAAGCAGATGTTTGTGGTAAAACTGAAGGAAGTCAAGTGCATAGTCTAGTGCCACATTGGGTTCAGCTAGTTTATCTTGTGTAAAAAGTACAGTTTGTAGTTCCAAAGTGTATTAATTTAACTGTCTCTTACCCTTAGCTGCTCCTGTGCCCCAAAGGAACTGTTTAAGGAACTAGAAATGTTATGACAAGTTATGGCTGTTTGGGGCATGGCTAACATGGAGCAACTCCAAAATATTCCATAGTACAGAGATCCAGATAAACAGACATGCTGAGAGGTAAGTTTTTCATAGACATGTGTGAACCTTAGCTGGCTAAGGTGCAAGTTGAATTTCTCTTACCTTAAACTTATCAGGGACATCCTGCTGATTTAGAGGGAAGAGTCTTACAAACTTGAAACTCTCTGCGACCACATAAAATGGTTTGTTCTGAGCTTTGGCACACACAGCTATTTGGTTAGTGCCAATCTGTGGAGACAGGTGGAAAACAACATGCAGACTCAGTGCCAATGTGACATCACATTGCCCAGTTTCCAGCAGTAAACAGACATTTATTGGAATACTCCAAATACAAGAGACTTTTCAAAAGCACCTTAAACTCTTCATAGAAACCAAACTTCAGAGTTCACAGAACGGATGCAAGAAACTCACCTTGTTGATAATGCCTCCACTTTCAACTACACCTTCAGCACCAACTAGCACCAGATCCACTTTCTCCATAATGTAGCTGTTCAATGGGGAGGAAAAAGATCCAAGGTTTAGTGGGTAATATGGCAAATGAGCTGCTGAACAGAACAGAAATGAGTAATTCAAAGAGTCATTTTTCTGCACTAGTTTCATCTACCTCTGTAAGTCTATGTGCTCTTACACATCCTTGGAGTGAGCTTCCATCTGCTGCCCTGCTGGAAAATTAAGTACTTGTATTTTCCAGCCTTGGCCATTGTGTACATGCTGGAAGAAGCTGAACTCTGACTAGGAATGACACTCAGTTGCAGGAATACCTTTGGTGGAATACTGCACAGTGAAGTGTAACTGCACTGTGACAGCCTTGGTACCATACCCAGGATGCTCCTCATCCAATCCTCCTTTCCTTGCACCTCTCCAATAGGTCTCGTTAATTGAAAATACAGATTTGGAAAGAAAACTATCAACTAAATGACCTGGATAGATTCAGTGTGCTGAACAGAACCTGTAGGCTTGTCCAGTCAGGCCAACAGCTTCCCTGAATTCAAGGTGCCCTGCAGGCAGTGGCTTGGGCACTTTGCACTTCCTGAGCTTCAGATTTATTATGGTTCTTTCTTTCCTCATGTTTTGGACTCGTACTAAGCAGTGGTGATGTAGCAAACATCTTAAGTAACCCCAAAATGGTAACACTTAAGCCAATTAGGAAAAACAGTAGCCTCTTTTTGTACCATCCCCCTTCTTTTGTCCAGATCTGCACCATTTCTAGGCTTAGGTCTGACTCCTTTGCTCATTCTAACATGGAAGTCAGACACTTGTAACAGACATGTTCTAATGGTGCAACTGAAGGTGTAACTTGTTCAACCTGTTTGATGACTTATGACAAACTCATAACCTCTGCAGTTTGGACAAGCTTCTAGAAAATTGATTTATAACACTGTCCAAATAAACTTGTGGTGGAAATCAGTAACTTCTGATCAGACTTACCCAACTGCAGCATCCAGGATTACAATCACAGGGATGTCCAGCTTCCTCAGGGCTTTTGCCATTTTTTGCCTGTTTAATAAGACATGTTTGAAGCTTTTAAAAGTCTTTTATTTCAAGACAAAGACAGGAAAATATTGCCTGAAAGACTGAAACGTGTCTGCCCCTGTTCCCCTGTCCTGTAGAAGAGAAAGTTACTGTACAGAAGTGGAAGGATTTGTGAGTGTGGTGGTGGGAGCTGTCAGCAGTGTGTATTACCCACTCACTCCTTTGCTCATGCTTTGAAGTAATGATTTTATTTGGCATCTTCAAATGACACAGTTAGCTGTGTATCTTACTTTGCCACGCTTAGAGCAATACTGATTATTTTAGCCTACTTTTGAAGGAGACAATTAGAAATCAGTTGTCTGCCATCCCCCAAGGGAAAAGCAGGTTGTCTGGCACTGACTGGAAGTCTGTAAACCTTTGAGGAAAACCTAGATAACACTAATTAGAATGTTTAGTATTGGAAGCTACTGACCAATATTGCTTAGGGTTTTTTCCACTTGTCCAGAATAATGTGGTATCAGTGACAGTTGCCATTTAAGATGCTGCAACCAAGGCTAGCAGCTTTTACCTAGGGCACGACAGGTTGGGTGGTAGCTGTAACTCACCCTCTTAACCAGGATAAAAACCAAATGAATGAGTACTTGCCCTGCTTGATCTGGCTGTGATTCAGTCACATAGACACTGAATCGTTTCTTTGACTCCACAGCTGCTTCCAGCACCCTGAGGACCACTCTGGAGTAGGCATGGGTCAGTATTCTCTGCCAAAACAACAAAAATCAGCCATTTTTTGCTGAGCTGAGGAAAACCTTTACTTTTGTTCCTAGTGTCATGGCTTGTCACGCAGAATAATGTCATGCAGAATATTGTCATGTAGAAACCAGCACTGGACAATGCAGTTGTGGATGTTAATTAACTTGACTCCCTCCCCATCCTGTTTTTCCCTTACTGCAAGCAGCAGCAGAACCGACCAGGAGTGACTCTGCCTTGGCCTACTCACAGCACCATCTCTGATGAAAGGATGACACAGCTTGGCGATTTTATTCCGAGAGAGAGACACTTTCCTCAGGAAGATCTCCCCACGCTCGATCATAATTTCTTTGCACTTGGAGTAATCCTGGAAAACAGCAGGATGCCGGCTGAGAGGCGGGAGGCCCCCCCAGCAGCCGCAGCAGGGCCGAGCGGGGCAGCCCTTACCGAATACTCCAGCGAGGTGAGGCTGATGAAGCGCAGGAAGAGCTCCCCGCCCGAGGACACAGCCACCGAGGAGTCCACGCGGGACAGCGTCTCGATGGCATCGCGCAGGCTGCTCCGCAGGCCCTGGATGGTCTCCCCTGGCACAGGCAGAGGCGCAGGTGATGCTCTCCCCGCGGTACCCGGGGAGCGGTCCCTGCCCTCCGCGGCTGAGCCCGCTACCCGCCCCCACCGCGGTCCTGCTTGAGGAAGCCCAGCAGGGCTCGGATCGCGGCCACGGCCGAGGCCACGTCGGGGTCATCCCGTAGCTGCGCCCGGAACGTCTCGATCAAGTCTGCGAGGCAACAGAGAGGTCATGCCCGGCCCGGCCCCGCAGCCCCCGCGCTGCCCCGCGCACCC